TTCTGCTTCAGTCTTTGAGGAAACGAAGGTAATGGTTTTTCTAAAGGACATTGTGTTTGTTCATTTTTATTTTTTTCACTTTCCATTGCTTCCTTCTCTTCATCAACTTCAGTTTCTCTTTAGATCATTATTTCAACTTCTTTTTCACTTCGTAATTGAATAACTTTAGTTTGCTCCTTATTTTGATCTTTTGGTAACTTCCACCGTACCGGAAGAACTCCAGAAGGTCTGTTACTGAGTGCAGTAGCAACATGTCCTAATTGATTTTAGATATTTCTAATAGCAGCCCCTTGATTCTGTATTTGATTTCCCATGTTTAACATTACTTCTTACATCGTCAACTTCTTGTCCTTAACTTGTGAGTTATGATTAGATATAAAAGAAAGGGGAAGAAATATAAACTCACGCATTATTTCATTTTTCCCCACCTACGTGTTTTTTTTTGTGCCCTAGCCAAACTAATTCCTCCCCCTCTCCTCTCTTGACCGAATCTCGAAGCTTCCTTCTGGTTATCTAGTCATCTCCTTCCTCGTCAGCCCTAGCCAATCCTTGTTTCCGGTTGCTTTGTTGGTAATATGGATTTTCCCACCCAAATGAGTTCGGGTACCTTCCTTGTCAATCTGGCTCGGTTTCTTGCCCTCCGTAGCGTATTCCCCTCATCGTTGGTTTTCACTGGTGGTAGCTTTATTGGTAAGCAATTCCACCTTCTCCGGCTATAAATATTCCTTGGGGAAGGATTTCAGGGTATTGGGATTTTTGATTCGTGTGCCAAGGAAGAATTTTGGGCTTTCCTTCTTCTTCGCAACAGATGCTCGGTGCTCCCTGTTCTTGTTCTCCCTCGATCATTTGGGCCTAAGAGTATTATGTATTTCTTATGAAATCTCACTTTGACACTCTCTCAACTACAAATTTGATTCGAAGTCCTTGTTCGTCACTTCCTTTAATCCTTCTAGAACCTTCTTTTAGTGAATGCTTTGTTCTTTATATTTGGTTTCATGGCAAAGTGTTTTTATTTTCCTCTTCCCTGAAAAAAAAAACTTTTGAGGTGTCAAAGGATTTACTGCTCGATCTTACTTTCCTTTCTTCGGATTCATCATCATAGGTCCGATTTTCTTGCTTTATGCTTCTTTTCTACAAGTAGTTCTATCAAAGCTTTTGAATGCATTGAAGGTTAGAAGTTAAACGATTCAGCAATCTTGCTTAAAGGACTTTGATTCTTTTTCTTTTAAAGAATTATTATGTCTTTCTTTATGGATGAGATCTGTGTTTTCTGGGGCTGTTAAGTTTATTTGAATAGATTGTGTCTTTTTTTTTGGATCTATGGGGTTTGCTTCTTAATAATTTTACTATTCTTCCTGGTTTAGACGGAAATGACGAGATGCCATTCTTTGTCCATGAATGATTAATTTCTCTTCAAATATAAAGGGGTCCTTTCCTCTAATACTTGTTTTGATTATAGACTCATGGTTCAATAAATAGATTCACGGTTTTCCTTTCATTCTCTGGGATAAAATTTTATATACATATTTTTTTCTTTTGCATTCAGTTTTCTTTTTTTTTTCATCTACATCTAGTTTTTTCTTTAAAAAGGTAAGTTTACTGATCTCGATAATATAGTTGTGTAAAAATTATAAATTTGCCTCCGCTATGCAACATTGCCAAAAGCTTGATGCAATATTTTATGAATAAGAAATTTAAGCAATTAATGTTAGAATTCTATGCAAGTATACGTATCATTATCAAGTAATAAAGGACTTTCTATTTAAGTCCCAAATATCGATCCCACGGGGAAGGTTTAAATTTGAAATGATAAATTTAATAGGAAATTCACAGAAAGTCAAAACGAACTTACTGTCACTAATTTCGAATATTAAGATATTATAAGAACTAAAATATATAACTAATAAAAAAATGAAATACAAAGTTTAAACAGTAACTACTAAACTATTAAACTATGTTTATGTGATGAAGATTTCTTATATGAAAAAGCATCTTTCTCACTACAATGAGCTTTTGGTAAAATGAGATGAGATAAATGGTTCAAATAAGTATTGTGTCAAATAGGAGCAGTTTTAATTTTCTACCCTGATACAGTGTTATAGAAAATCATTGGCTAATCCCAGGTTTAGCCCCTAAATCCGTGGCTAGGCTAAGAGGATACTGACTCCCACTCCAGAGCTCCCACTTTCCTTCACCTGAAGGCTAACTTCCGCTTTAGTTTTTAAATACTAAGACTAAATTAGGGATTTTAATCTGTGACCCTAAAGATTCTCCAATTCTACAACCAACAAAGTATATTTCCCTATTTATTTGCACTTAATTCCAGGAACGAAATTCTCCCTCATGGAATCAAATGTGATCCTCACTCTATTATAGAACTCATACTCCATTTCCCGGATCATATGTTTCACAACATATTTTAATAATTTAATTGGCCAGATCGAAAAGTAAATTAAGTTCGGAGTTGAAAAATCATCACAATTTATTTTATATTTTAATATTGGCACATCCATATTATATCTTCATTTCATCATATCTCAGAGTAGAGAGAAAGATAAATTAAACTACTCAGATTTCGTGAGAAAAAAAAACAAAACACAAATTTCATATATAAAAAAAAGTGTTTATCTAAAACTTTTTCTCAAAGCAAATCATTTATAGCCTCTTCTAGGAAATGTAGGAAGAAGAAATCTCTTACTTTTCTCCTTCTCCAACACTCTTAGAGAAGAGTTCACACTTAATCTCACCACAAAACTCTAAATTATAAAAACAATGGACTCTAAATGGTTGTGGAATGAAAAATGGAAGAATGTGTGATGAGTAGAAGGTTGAATTGGGGCGATGAGATGTCAGGAAGAGTCACTTTTCTGATCAATTTTGGCCCCAAATAAAATCTAGAGTCGGTTCTCCAATAGGTGCCTCCAAAAACTCTTCAAAAAGCGTCCAAATTCGTCGAATCTTTTAGAAACAGGGGTTGAACTGACATTGGCGTCGTCGACACCAGTGTTCCGCAATTTAATTCACTTCTCTCTATCAAACGGCGCCAGAAGCAGGTGATGCTTCTGGCGCCGTCGGCGCTGAACAAATTTTCAACATCTTCATTTTTTTCTCCAAATTTCATCATTTTTGCTTCCTTTTTGCTTAAAGTCCTAAAATTCAACAACCTGCAAGAAAACATAAAAACACCTTCCATTAAAGTGCAATATTATCAAAAATGAATATAAAATATGAGTCTAAAAATGCATATATTTTTTGTGTATCAACGATCGCATCGGCTCTTTCCAAAGTTAAGTATGGTACTCACTAGTTGGTGAAAGCATAACCCTTTTGGGTCATTATATTTTGTAACAAATTTTAACATCACAAATGACTAATTTGTAAAGTCAATGAAGAATCGATGAAAAAGATATCACAAGTTTATAAAATAAAAGAAAATATTTAAATCAATCTCATCCCACATGATTAATTTCCATATTTAATGTGAAAAAAAGGAAAACTGCTCAAAATTCATGAAGATAAAACAAAAACACAAAGTTTGTATTGAAAGTCAAGTCTTACCAACAAAAACTCAAACACAAATACAAATTATTTATCTTATGTCTTCTCCCCAAGCAATTTTTGAAGTCTCCTTCAAGCAATCTCAAAACTCTTCTTCTACAAACGAAGAATCACAAATATAAACTCACACATCCACTAGAGACTCTCTACACTCTCTAAAACTCTCCAAAACTCTCTTCAAACTCTCTAAGACTCTTTTTTTCATTTAGCAATTGACCCTTTTAATAGATAACTAAAATTAACCAAGGGTCACTTCATGCATCCTTTCAAAATTTAGCCAAATTCTTTGAATATTCTAGAAAATCGGTTACTAGAGCTATAATGTTCATCACGGTCGTAAGTTGACGCTATGACGCCAAGGTTTGGCGCGATAGCGCCATATGAAGTGTTGTCATTTTGCTCCATTTTGCCCTCATTTACTCTAAATATCCATCCCTTGTACCTGAAACCAAAAACATGTAAAATATCTTCCTTTAAAGTGTAATATCATCAAAAACATGCATAAAATAAACATTAAACATGTATTAAAACTAGTAATTTTAATGTGGATCAGGGGATATCTACATCCGTAAAAACAATTGGGGGTGAATGCAAGAGTTAGAGGTGAAAGAGCATACCTTCCTTGATTAATGCTCTTCAGATGTTTCTTCTTAACTATGTCTTTGAGTATTACTTCATAGCCTGGTCAAATGTTGTGTCATAAACTTCTTCTACCCAATTAAAATAGTTGCAGTATTTCTCTAATTAATTTCTAGGGCATCAATAAATTTTTTGCCATAGCTAAAATTTTTATGGGTTGTATACACCATGCAAAGCAAGTTACAATCACAATACATCTAATGATATTTGATGCCCTTTGAATTTATTTAATAGCTTGATCTCATTTTTGATATTTTAATTCTGTAAAAATATAAATTAGCACCATTTCTTGAGAAATAAATATCTAAAAGAAAATGTATGGAGTCGCATGTTTCTTTTGAAGTGGAATATCAATATATCAAACACGAAGTAAAAATATAAAATGTCAATTCAAACTTGCTAATTAAATTCATTCTTTCGATAACTTTGCCTTGTAGAAAATAAAGTTCGCAAGTAGCACCGATAAAATTGAGTTCAGATGTTTGTGATTGCAACTCACGAGCGATTATTGTGTACGGACGCCGCACGCAAATTTGTGTGCGGTGCCCGATGAGGACCGCTGAAATGCAATTTTTTGTTTTTTTATTATTACAGTGGGGCCCATTCTAAATTTTTCAATAATACTGATTTTGCGTGCCGTAAAATCTTTGAAAAAAATATAACACATTTTTCTTAATCATGAAAAGGATTGAAGTATGCAAAAGTAATAAAGTACAAGAAAAACCATACAAATAAATCTACCTCTAACAAGAGGTCATGGAAAAAAAAAAATCACCCCTACAACATCTAATATGGCACTTTGATGAGGCACCGTTGGCACTTATGCGATCAACAAAAGAGCAGTTTGGCGAACATTCCCAAAAACTCATATAAGTGATATATCAATTTCCTTTTTTATGTTGGTGATTCATGAATACATTTGACAACCCAAATACGGGATTCCAAGCACAAAAGAAATGATCTGTCACATAAACCGCCTGACAGATGAAAAGGATTTGCAAGATAAGCCAGAAGCATTGGGAAGATGAGTGTAACAGAGGAGGACGAGCATGAAAAAGGAGAATTAGCAAAGACATGTGCGACGGAGGAAGTGGTCAGAAGAATCAGAATACTATTTTTGATTATTGAAGAAGTTTTTGAATGTAGAAAAATAAAGGGGTTTTTACATTGGAAGCACTTAAAACAGTGCTTTTCGTAACCCTCGTCTCCTTCTTTGTAACCCTCTGTATTTCGCATTTTCCTTCCCTTTATTACTTTCATCTCCTGCGCATATCAAGTGAAGCTCATCATCTCTCCTTCGCTGTAAGGCTACAGAAACCTCTTTCTTACACCGTTGGACAACTGCTGCAGCCTTGCCAAATTGCGATCTTTCCTCCTTCTTTGGACTGGTGCAGACTGGCTTGTCGAATCAATGAGGGATTCTGTGTCTGTCGGACTGATTCGTTAAATCAGAACGGCAAGTTCTTGTTGGTATTCTTTTCTCTAGCAGTTTATTTTATTTCTTTTCTGTTGATTCTTGGTTGTTCTTAGTGTTTAACATGTTTTCATATATGCTTTTAACTAATTCAAAATCGATCATTTAGGTTCTGTATTTGATTTTATTTATTGCAAAATCATAGCATCCAAAATTTGATTGTTATTTTATTAAAGCAGTCCAGCTTAAAGTAACATAGTGGAGAGTTCTTAGTGCCTGAAGAAGAGAGCACAAATGACCTCTAGGATCCTTATTTTGAATTTTAAATGGATAAATCTACTATTTTTGAAGTTGAAAGTTATTATAAGTCTATTTTTTGTTCTTTGGTTGTTATTGAGTTGCTTTTTATTGAGATGGTTCAGTCATGAATTTCATCTCATTTTGTGAAATTGGCTAGAAGGATTAAGATCACCATGAAATAACTTTTTCTTTTGTCATTTATTGAAGTCAATGAGTCGACTAATGAGTCATACTCGTATGTGATTTGAGTCATGAGAAGCCTGTTTCAGAGCAATCTAACTCGAGCTTGGAGCAAAATGCATAAGTGAATTCATATTCACAAAAATTTATGTATGTATTTAAATTTGAATTAACGAACACTTATATCTATTTATTTGTTGTTATATATGTTCTACAGAGATTTTGTCTTAGGAGATAAAAAAAGATAAAAGTCTTCTTTAGTTTTGAATATGGATGGAGTAGAAATCAAATTTAACAGTCATATCTATCTTGAATTGAGATAGCACCGAACCACCTTATAACTCGACTTAACACGGTGCTATCTCAAGTGAGTTCCTTTGATGTGATTCATATATGATCAATTTTTTTCCACAACTTGTATTTATCCTTAAGCATGTGAGTTCCTTTGATGTGATTCATATATGTTTGTTTCTACAGGTGGAATTGTAATATTGTAGAATGTTATATCTTTTGTTTATTGCTAAAGTAATTTTCATGTCTATTTTCACTGGGCTAGCTTGATTTAAATTTCAACTATTTTCATTGGGGGATTTTCTTAATGATGTTCCAATGCTTTATGAATTCATTGTAATCCACATTTTTCTAATTTTTCCTGCAATAACTCTTTTGCAGTTGAAATGTCTTCAAAAGCAAGGAGCATGAAAATGAACATGATGAGAGTGAGGTAGCTTATTTGCAAAATTATTTTTTTTACCCAAATATAGATGATTGAGATTTTTGGGTGCTTTTTTAACCAATATTTTATTTATTGTAACACAGTGGCCTTTATTTAAAATTTTAGATGTGCAACCGGATGTAAATGAACACTCACTTATAACTTTTAAATTTGGTGGATATTGGACCCAAGAAAAACCTAAGAGAGGAAGAAGTATAATAGGGACAAGCAACGCACTATAAAGATTAAAAAAAAGTTGAGTTTACTTTCATTAGAGATTAAAAAGATATGTGGTTGGCTAAAAGACACCAGTTCAAATTATATTATCATATTAATGGAGTTACGCCAAAAGATTACAAATTACATGAAAGTGGTGATGATGTTCTTGCAATGAGTGCAGGTTCAAAGGGGAGAAGTCGGGTTGAGATTGTTGTTATAACTCAAGAGCGTGTGGAAGTGATTATGCACTCACAAGATACAATTTCAACCGATGGCAATAGAACATAAGATGTAGTTTTTGCTTCTGACATATACATGAAAATTTTGGAGATTATGAAGATTTTGTGTTTGGTGCTATTTTTAGTGATTTTTTGCTTTCAAAAATGCTCTTCAATATTATGTCATTAAGAATAACTTTGGAGTGAAAAATCAATCTTGTAACAAACATCGAGCTATAGCCATGTTCATATAGAGGATGCCCTTGTAGAGTGCGAGCTCTTCAGTTACAATAGATGGCCAGTACTTTGAAGTGAGAAAATTATATGGAACTCACTTAAGCCCCCGGGTGAATAGGGCAGGTAATAAAGTCGCAACTTCATCCTAGGTGGCATAGCACATTCAAGATGTGGTTTGGAAGAGTCCTGATATCACTCCAAAAAATATCAAATATTCATTAGAAAATATTTATGGAGTATTTCTATCATACATGAAGTTATGGAGGTCGTGTGAGGAGGCTCGCAATAGTATTTTTCAATCTGTAGATAATAATTAGAGATGGGTGTCTGCATTACAAGCTAAGTTGATTAGCAGAAATTAGGATCGTATATTACTTACACTTGCACCAGTGTTGATAATTCTTTCAAAAGATTTTATGTAAGTTTTAATGTTTGCATTGATGACTTGTTAGTAGGTTGCAAACCTCTGATCAGATTGGATGCATGCCATCTGAAGTCAAAATATCTGGGTGTTTACTAGCTACAAATTCATTAGATGGTGATAACAGTTTATTCACTCTAACCTTCACATTTGCAGAGTCTGAGTCAAAAACCACTTGGATGTGGTTCTTAGAATATTAATCAGCTTCTATTGGGTGGGTTTGACCTACAACATCTGGTCTTTATGTTAGATATGGAGAAGGGTTTGGGAGAGGTCCTTAAGATTGTTCTTTCTAAATGCAGAGCATAGAATTTTTATACGACATCCTTGGAAGAATTTCTTGAAATATTTTCATTGTAATGATAGCCATAAGGTTAAAATCCTTGTATGGTTTGCAGCTAATGGCTACACTCAGTCTGAGTTTGTTAGTAAAATGGTTGAACTTTGTATTATCTCTCCACAAGTGCACTCTACTTGCATTGCCTTACACATGATATATAAGAGGTTTTAACATTGAGATTAAAAATCATTCCAACACAAGCAAAATGTTTGAATCATTTAATTCTTGGATTGGAGCTGAAATAAGCCAATTGTTGACTTGATTGATATGATTAGAGCATGTGACTGCTTGGAAAAGGAAACGAGTTCCATGAAAATGAATAGTAAACATATCCACAAGGAAAGAATAGTTCATTATAAGGGAATCTACACCACCTCGAGCTACGGTTGTTGGTAATAATGGTAGGCATGAAGTTGATATAGAACTTAAGACATGCACTTGTACAGTTTGGCATGTAAGTGGTCTACCGTGTATCAATGCAACTATATTTATCATGTTTACATCTCTATGGCACAATTATGTCACACCAGCTATCTTATTATTAGGTTTGTAGTATCTTCATATGTTTACTAATATTTATATTTTTTGTTCCTATTTGTGATTTTTTATTTTGAACTTGTATGTATAGGATGGCCTACGAGGGCATACATGTCGGTGTGCCAAATACATTAAGGCCAAGAGGAAAACAAAAGAAAAAGATTTAAATTTTTTTTAGAAAATAAAATTATAAGGGAAAAGAATGTCCATAAATGCAGCCATTTTGGACTTTAGGGGCATCACAAAACCACATGCAAAAATTCTTTAGGTTCACAAACATCACAAATTTCACAAGATGAAAGTAACTGAATATGCTCCAAACCAACAACAAGTAACCACGTTTTCAGGGCAAAACTGCCAGTCAAAGAGAAGTTTTGGACACTTGGTTGTTTGTATCAAATTTTGAGTGTAAAGAATTTTTTTTTTGTTTTGAGTGGAAGGATTTTGAGTAGAAATATATTTTTGTATTTTGAATCGACACCTAACAACTTGGATTTAAGAAGTTATTGATTTCTAGTTTTCTTTGATTGAACAATTTATATTTCTGGCCAACTGAACCATAAATTCTTGACCTTTAGGTTTAAGACATGAAAGAGATTGTGCATTGCTTAACTACTTGGATGATAGTCTTTAAGTGCCTTTCTCCTGCAAAAGATGTATTAATTTGTCTTCATTCATATCTATGTCTGAGCTGATGTGTTTTCTCTTTTTTTAGCTTTTATGTTTGAAGCTATCCCTATATTATTACATATGAATTTTATGATTTGTTATTATCACAATTATAAGTTGCAAATTTTATCAGGATTTTTGAGGCATGAAGTAAATGTAAAAATCAAAGTTTTGGCGTTAGATATGTAAATATATACGAAATGGGTGGTATGTATGTAAATGCCTTGAATTTTAGATTCATATTCTTTTTGAGGTGTGATATTCAGTTCTATATACACTGGTAATATAGGATTCTGATTTACTTGTTGGACCAGGTTACAGAAAACTTAGTGCAGCTAATGTGTAGCATGATGATGACTGGTTATATGTTTAGGAATGCACAATATCATTTGGAGTTGCAGCGAAGTGTAGAAAAAATACACTTTCTGATGTAAAAGAGGTAATTGGTATTGAATTGTCATTCATTTCTTGATTAGCAAGAAATATATTGCTGATGTTGTACTATTTTTCTGCAAATCCTCAGGTTTTTCTAGTGTTGATTGAGCTTACAAATAATTAAGCATCACCCTACTAAATCTGATGCTCCAGCAAAGATTTTCATTTATTTTATCGTGATTGAAGCTTGGCGTGTCTCGTGAAAAGAGATGTGAGGTGTGATGCTAGACTTCTCTTTTTAATGGTCATTTACATAAAATTTTATGTTTTTATGATTATTGGTATGAATCCTAATTGAGATGTCCAAATGATTAAAATTTAAACATTTATAAATTAATTGCTCATCACTTTATTTCGTGCCAAAAGTTTCTAACTTTTTTTTAAAATTATGTTTGTTATCATTATTGATTTGTTGCTTGGGTTCACATCCTCAGTGGTCTTAGAGAGGCTCCTAATATGGCTCGCCATGCTAATGCCCGAGCTATGAATATTGAAGTTGAAAGGACCTTATCAAAGAACGCCCATTCGTTCGCAGCAATTA